GAAGTAGTTGGAGTCTGTGAGGTCCAGGATTGAAAATGGGAAGAACTGAATAATCTGTTTAAGAGGAAGTTAGATTGCCCCGAGGCTCTTCCTTTAGTATGCAACCATTCTCCTGTGAATAGGTTACACCTTTGAAGCACAGGTTGCTGTTGTTTAGTTGCTAAGTCACTGCAGATGGTGATTGCAGCCATGAAATTAAAAGATGCTTACTCCTTGGAAGGAAAGTTATGACCAACCTAGATAGCATATTGAAAAGCAGAGACATTACTTTTCCAACAAAGGTCCATCTAGTCAAGGCTATGGTTTTTTCGGTGGTCATGTATGGATGTGAGATTTGGATTGTGAAGAAAGCTGAGTGCTGAAAAATGGATGCTTTTGAACTGTGGTGTTGGAGAAGACTCTTGAGAGTCCCTTGGACTGCAAGGAGATCCAACCAGTCCATCCTAAAGGAGATCAGTCCTGGGTGTTCATTGGAAGGACTGACACTGAAGCTGAAACTCCAATACTGTGGCCACCTCATGTGAAGAGTTGACTCATTGGAAAAGACCCTGATGTTGGGAGGGATTGGGGGCAGAAGGAGAAGGGGATGACAGAGGATGAGATGGCTGGATGGCATCACCGACTCAATGGACATGAGTTTGAGTAAACTCCAGGAGTTGGTGATGGACAGGGAGGCCTGGCGTGCTGTGATTCATGGAGTCACAAAGAGTTGGACACAACTGAGCGACTGAACTCAACTGAACTGATGGGACTCTTTGCGATCTCGTAGACTATAGCCTACCAGGCTCCTCTGTCCATGAGATTTTCCAGGAGAGAATACTGGAGGTACAAGCTAAGTTTCTGAATACATGAGCATTAAATTAAAGGCTGTATAGTGAAAAAAAGCCTGCATATTATATAACAAAACCATCAGGTCCTCTCCATTCAACCCAGGAAGACTGTGGTCTGGTGTGCAGCCACAGGTAAATTAGAAGACCCAGAGCAAAGTTATACCAATCTCTACAAACGCAGCACTTGGAAGGCAGTGCCCAGTATTCATGAGTGAAAGATACCAGCTGATCAGCCCACTAATGCATGACAAAATGCCAATCAAGTTTTAGTTTCTCTTTGGTATGAACCTTTATGAGACAGTTGTAAGGAACAGCTCAAATAGGAAAGTCAGAAAAAAAAAATAGACATAATAGAAAATCTTCAGGGTGTCCCCACTGGCTCTTCCCTCTGCTTGGAATGCTCTTCCCATACCTGCTCTCTCTACTCCTACACTTCATTCAGAGCCCTGTCAAATACAAAATAATGAGACATCTTTTCTTACTAATATATTCAATATTGCATTACACTCCTCCCCAGCACCCAATTCTTTGTTACTCTATTTCTTTACTTGAGTTTATATTTCTGCATATATTAATCATTACATAGATATTTTCATACATTTATATATTTGTTATCCATTTCACCCACTGCAAAATTAACACTCATGAAGGTAGGAACATTGCCTAGGGCACATGATAGATCCTTAATAATTACTGTTAATATTATTTATCTGATTACCTATTTAGTAAATATAAGTAACTTCGATAAATCTAAAACAATGTAGGAAACATAATTTAAAAGAATAAGTATGCAGAAGATAAGAAAAGTTATAGCCAGGAAACAATTCAACAATATTAACTATATAAAATCAATAACTGGAGAAGAATTAGCTCTTGAAAGTTCAAAGTATTAAAAATTAAAGATATAGTTCTATAAGTTTGGGAAGCCTTGGTAAAGAAAATCTCCAAGAGACTAAAGAGAAATGTCAGATATGAACAATAGGAAAGAAAAAATAAGAATGTAAGAGATCAATCCTGGAAGACAGATAGGAATTTGTCTGAAAGGAATTTCCTGCAGTAACAGAAAAAGTCGAGGAGAGGGAACCACTAAAGATATAATATAGCTGACTACTAGAATGGAAGTAAATGGCTCTTGGATGGAAAGACCCTCCAGATGCTCTACATACTAAGTAAAAAAGAAACCCATCAAGATATTGTCTTACTGAAGTTCAGAATTTGAAGCTAAAAAGATTTTTTACATCAATAAACCTCAAAAATATAACATGGAACCAAAATAGATGACAGAGTACATAAACACTTTAAAACCTAAAAAACCTGCATTTTATATTATTAATAAATATGCAAATATTCAGTAAAACTACAAAAACTTTCATGAGAATAACAGCAAAATCAAGATAGTAATTATCTGTGGAGAGAGAGAGAGAGGGAAATCATATTTAGGAAGACTACAGATGAGGCATCATTTATATGTATAAAATTTTATTTTAAAATGTCTTAAAGCAAATATAACATAAGATTTAATAAAATTGAGTGGTGAGGATAATGGTTTTTTTTAGACTATCTTCTGGACTTTTTGATGTTTTTGAACTATTTCACTTTTTGAAAAAAAAGACCCAAGAGAACAAAAGAATGAAAACAGGTTACATTAAAAAAATTACAGGGAACAAAATGATATCAGATTTATTAACTGTAATAACAGAAACTAGAAAATAATGGAGAAATGTCCACACAGTTCTGAGAGAAAATGATATTCAACAAAAAGGAATATATCCAGCCAAAATATCAGTCAATTAATACAAAATTAAGGTAAAAACACTTCAGACTTAGTCATTCGCCTATTCTTAAAAAAAAACTAGTGCATTATGTACTTTGTGAAATGAGAAAAAACCAAGTAAGAGAGAGATGTGAGAGCTGTTAAGAAAAAAATGCACTGGACACTTGTTAAAAATGGCAAGATAGATTTTATTTTAACTGCTATAGTAGAGAAGAGAGACTTCAGTATAGAGCTGAACTCCATGTCTACAAAATTGACAAAATCTAGATGAAACAGACCGAAACAGACACATTTCTTTAAAGTCACAAACTACCAAAAGTCACACAAGAAGAAGTAGGCCTATGTCCATTAAATAAACAATATAAATCTGTATATTCAATATTTATATCAATTAATAACTTTTCAAAACAGAAAGCCCCAGGCCCAGAGGGGTTCACTGGTGAATTCTACCAAGCATTTAAGAAAGAAATTATTTCAATTTTCTACAGTCTGTTCTGGAAGATAGAAGCAAATGGAAAACTTCCTAACTGATTTTATGAGTTGGTGATAATCTAATGCCAAAGCCACACAAAGACATTACAGAAAATTACATATCAATACCTTTTACAAATATAGATGCAAATATCCTCAACAAAATGTTTTCCAACAAAATTCAACAATGTGTAAAAATAACTACACAACACAACCAAGTGGGATTTATACTAGACTGATTCACCATCAAAAATCAACTAATGCAATAAAAAATAGACCCCTTTTGTTTGACCACTTAACAGGTAGCTCTAGTCATAGGCTTTATTTTGAAATGTATCTTGCCTGAGTCAGAAACTAGTCTGTTGTACCTCCCAGGTTCCAAGGACACTTTGAAGCCTTTCTCAATAGGCTTGAAGAAAAGAGAAATTATCCCCACCCCTACCACCACTCTATGGAGATGATGAGACTCATAACATAGCTCAGTCTATAGGGTCACAGAGAGTCGGGCACAACTGAAGTGACTTGGCACATTAAAAGAATACTCTTTCCCCTCCCCAAATTCCCTTATCAGTTATGTTCAATGCTTTCATAAGTTCAGTTTAAGTGGACATATCTTAATATTTCCTATCAAGCACTTCATTTTGGAGTGAGAGTAGCTGGCATCTATGATTATCTTGCAGCTTCATCACTGAGACAAATAATGAACCTCTGTTAGAAATCATCTTCCCTCCTGACTTGTTAAATACTAAGATGTATTTGATACATTTCTTCTAACCATTCTCTTCCTGGGAAACAATATTTGTCCCTGTTCTACTGATGGCTCCACATTTGTGTATGTGATTTCAAGTGCTATAGTGCAGACACTACCTTCATTCCATTTGTAGCTGCATATCACCTAACAGGCTGAACCTCATCTAAAGAGTCATTGACTTAATTATCTTCACCCTTCAATAATTTGCTAATGATATTTTCTAAGAAATATTATGACCAATATTATAGTGGAAGTGGGCAAGATTGAAAAGATCCTGATTTTCTAAAAATAATAATGGAGGGGCAAGATATATTATTTTATTAAGTAAAGGTCTTACATATTTTACCACTAACCACAATATTATGTTAAATTTTGCCAAACTGATGCACAGTTTTAACATTTAAAATGTGCAATGCGAGTTAGTCACTTCAGTCGTGTCCAACTCTCTGTGACCACATGGACTGTAGCCTGCCAGGCTCTCCTGTCCATGGAACTCTCCAGGCAAAAATACTGGAGTGGAGATCCGTTCCCTTCTCCAGGAGATCTTCCCAACCCAGGGACTGAACCCGGATCTCCTGCATTTGTAGGCAGATTCTTTACAGTCTGAGTCACCAAGTAAGCCCCTTAAAAAATGTACAAAAGATAAATATTCTAAGGGAGAGGAAAACAGCACATTTAAAATGAACTTCAGTTGACAAAATAGTTAAAACCACTCCTTTTGTAATATTAACAAGTTCTAAAAGCTAAGATTTTTCAGTATAACAATGTAAGTCTGACAGTTTTACTAATAATACACTTATTTATATTATTGTAATCAGGCAAACCTTCATAAATGAAACTGACAGACATATTTTCCAAGTGGAACTTTGACTTTAGATGCTACTTTTCTCTGTATAAAATGACAGCACACACCAGTGTTCCTGCCTGGAAAATTCCATGGACAGAGGAGCCTGGCAGGCTACAGTCCATGGGGTCTCAAAGAATTGGACATGACTGAGCACACTCGCTTTTTGTGTGTATAAAATACAGCAAGGGGAGGGGGAAAAAACACATTTCAAAATGGGAAACTCTACAGCAAATCAGCCCAAATAAGCTAACATTTGCGAAGTAATTCTCATCCTTATAAATTGCCTTCTTGCAGGAAACAGACCTTATCCTGACTTTTAATATTTCAATGCACCGATCTTGGTGGATGGAGAATGGACCAGGATGTACGGTGACATCAGTGACTCCTGCCCCAGACTGGGCCCCAGAAGACCATCGCTACATCACGGTCTCAGGGTGTTTTCTGGAGTACCAGTACATAGAAGTGGCTCACAGTTCCCTCCAGATTGTCCTCGCAGTAAGTGTTGACAGCCAACCACTCCTTCTAGTGTTTCCAGAATTGCTTTATTTCTGTGTAAACTCAGCACACGCAGTTGGAACCTGTGGGTAGAAGGTAGCTATGTGCTTCTTCCTAATCACTGCCACTTTTAACAGTGATTTGTCAGGTTAAACCAGGCTATGTCGTGGATCGAGTGATTCTTTCTGGGTACACTGCTACTTCTGGGAATTCCCTTCTCCCTTAAAATCTGCTTCTTAGATTTCCCTCAGGTACCATCCATCATCTTTTATTACCCTCTCTCTTTTTCAAAACAAGTCAGCTCTTCTATGAATTCTACTTCTAGATTATCACACCCCTATTTTTCATAGTATTCTTCCAATAAATAATGCTCCCTCTACAGGAAGAAAGTTGGAGTTATAAATAATATCTTTGTTTTTGTATATTTATAGAACACATTTGTATAATATATTACTATGTTATATAAAACATTATTTTACATTATATTCCTATGATAAACAGATAAAAACAGATAAACACCTCCCTTTCTTGAGAAGAACTTTTGCTAATGCTAAATATGTAATTTTGTGGGATTCATAAAGTTAAGGCAACTTTATTATACATGTCTCCATTTATTACAGATCATGTATGCAGATCTATGTGTATTTTCTTAGACTCTATGTAGATCTTCAATTGAGGGCACAGTATTAATTTTTAACAACAAATAATACAAGTAGACTCTTCTTTTTACCTTTCTTTAGTTAATTACTTTGAGAAAGACAGTAACTCACAATTCTTAAATAACAGGACATAAAAAGTTCTGGGTAGAATGGTACCAGTTGGTTCATATAAAACTCTTTGGAAATTTAAAAAGAAAGTACATGAGTGTGTGTATTAGATTACATAACTAATATATAGTTATTATATTTTTTAATGAGGAATATATATAAACATACATATATACATATAATTATATACTAAATATGCTGTGCTATGAATACTTCCCAAGTCTCTGTGACTAAAAACCACAAAGGTTTATTCTTATGGGTGAGCAAGAATTTTTATCAATCACTGGTCGCTAAGGAAACAAGGCTAGGAGCATAGCCACCATCTCAGTCATCATGGTTGCCATGCCAGATGGCAGGAAGAGATCTGGTGTCTACATTGGCACAAAAATGCTCCTACTTGAGAGAGGAAGCTCACTGCTCATAGTTCATTGTCCAGAAGTAGATACACATTGCTGCCCAATCACAAATCAGTCAGAGAGGAGGAAGAACTGTAAATATTTGAGGAGCAGCATAAACTATTTCCACAATATTTGAATTACATTCTTGGCTAAAGCACTGAGTGATCTCCCTTGAATGTGTCCAACTTGAAGCACTTCTTAATTTTAAAAAAAAAAGCTTCTATGATAGTTTTATATTCTATAACTGTTCATTTTTATTATATTTAAGTAAAGTGAGATTTGATGGAATGGAACTAGTCATTTCATTATGTAAAATTCATTTAGGTGAAGCATTCATTCTCATATGGGAAAAGTAAAATATCTCTGGTATTTGGTGACAGATAAAATGTCTTCCTACATGTTAAGAGAGAAATTTTAGAGAAAATGCTCCTTTCTTGTTCCTTCCTTGAAACTCCCTTTTTATCTTTTCTTTTAAACTGTATCCATAATTTTTGGAAAACTTCCATATATGTGTCAAGGATGATGTAAACATATAGTCTGTATGCATGGATAGTTAAATATATGACTATTTTAGAGAGTTATTTGAATTAATGTTTGTATGAATAAACTATACTCACAGATTTATTAAACCACCATGAAATTCTGGTTCACAGATAATTTGCTGAGGAAATACATTTGGACATGGAAGCATGTGTTGAGGCTGACATACTGCCCAAAGAAAAAATATTTTTACATAAGTAAAAATCATCTGTAAAGGCAAAGTGGCTCAAGTGTAGAGAAGATGGATGGAGTGTCTCTAAGAGCAGATGTGTCCAATATATCAAGCTGCTGGTTCTCAATTCTCCTGTTGACACTGCCCCCAGCTGAGTGGAGCAATAGTTTGAGCAGGTCATCACAGGATGTAGCGTCTTCACCTCTCCCCTTTCCACCCGCTCTTCCTTCTGGGGGAGTTCTTTTGCTATGCTGACTGGATCACCTGAGAGAGTAAGTCAGCAGCCCAAGCCAGTTTTTTGGAAAAGTTTCCACACACTTTCTGTCTTTGGGTTTGTTATTGTCTAGCCAGCCTTGGGCTGAAAGCATCTGCTATGTAGAAAACCTAGCACATCTTAACTAGTGTTTTAGAATGCAAACCAAACAGGGCTGATCTCGAACAATTTTCTCTGCCCAGTTAGCAGAAGCCTTCCAACTAAATGTTCCTACAGTCATTCTGATCACTCCTTTTGCCGTGTTTAAGGCATGTTGCATGCAGTCCATGGGGCTGCTAAGAGTTGGACGCGACTTAGTGACTGAACAACAACAAGAAGGGATGAAACAGTGGCTTGAATCTCTGTTTCTCCCCTTCTCCTGTTACTCAAATCATCTTCCTGACAATCCAATGTTTAGTTCGGTGCAGTCCAGTGAACACTTCCTGCATGATGATCCCTGCTTGGCATCTAGAGAAAGAAATGACAGCATCTCTGACCTTGAGGCTGTCAAGGTCAGAAACGGGCGTGCTTCCTCAGAGTACACACCCAGGGCAGACAGGCACACTTTGGGAACGTGGTACAGAGAATATGTTCGTGGCGCTTATGGCATCATCTTGGCTTCTTAGTTCCATCTTGCTTTTTGTGAAGTCAGCTAAACTCCCACACTTCTCTTTCACCTGTCTTTGAAGCTACCCTCTCTTCCAGGATATCTGGCTTAGATCTGCTTTCATCAACGGCTGCTGTCCCAGCAACGGCTCTTGATTAACTCCAAATCTCTCCAGCTCTTTTTCTCCACCTTCACTCAGCCTCTCTTTCACAGATTCCTAACCCTTGGCACGCCTGTCAACCCATTGTTTGGTTTCCTGCCAATCAACTCCTAGCTGATTTTGAAATTAGCATTCACAAAGCCCGCATTTGCATTGCACATTCATAAGATATCTCCCATCTCCAGCCAAAGGAAGAATAGTATAATATCCACATAATTGGGAAGAGAGGCTATTAATCACACAGCCTCCAGCCGAGCAGAAAGGACTGCCACAGCATCATAATGATCAGCCAGGTGTGAGGTTTCCAGCATTCTCCTTCTCCAGCAGCATTTTCTTCTAGTTAGGATCAGATATCACATTCAAAGGGAATACAGGTGTGCAAAGTTTTAATAAAATCCAAAATATATTTTTTTTAAACCTGCACCTACAAAATGGATAAAATAAATACATATGGAAAGAGCCCGGGAGGAGAAGAACTAAAGAAATGATGCTGTTTACATTACAACACAATGAACCTGATTTCTTCAGAAAATGTGACTTTAACTGTGTGGTTTACAAAATGCATTTACAGGAATTTAATCTTTTGATTTGTGTAACAGTCCTGGGAGGGCAGCAGGACAGACTCAAAGCCTTTCCCAAGAATTCTTAGCTAGTACATGTGGAGGGCAGACATGCTGATCTAAGTTTTTCTCGGTACCAAGGATAGGAAAACAGACTTAAAGCAGCATGCCAGCATCAGCTGATGGGTAACAGATTCATGAAACCCCAAAATTCAGACTTCTCTTCAGTAGCAAAGAATGCCATGATTAATTAGCTATGTCCTCCATGGGCGAGGGGAAGGGAGGCATATATACCTCATCTGTATTTGTTGTTGTTCAGTCACCAAGTTGTTTCTGACTCTTCACAACCCCATGGACTGCAGCATGCAATGGTTCCCTGTCTCTCACCATCTCCCGGAGTTTACCCAAGTTCATCACCATTGAATCGGTGATGCCATCCAACCATCTCATGCTCTGTTGCCTTCTCCTTCTGTCTTCAATCTTAGGCAGCATCAAGGTCTTTTCCAACGAGTCAGTTTTTAGCATCACGTGGTCAAAGTACTGGAGCTTCAGCATTCATCATTAGTCCTTCCAAAGAATATTCAGGGTTGATTTCCTTTAACTGACTGGCTTGATCTCCTTGCTTTCCAGGGGATTCTCAAGAGTCTTCTCCAGCACCACAGTTCAAAAGCATCAATTCTCTGGCGCTCTGCCTTCTTTACTGTCCAGTTCTCACATCTGGACATGACTACTGGAAAGACCATAGGCTTGACTACATGGACCTTCATCAGCAAAGTGATGTCTTTGCTTTTTAACACACTGTCTAGGTTTGTCATAGCTTTCCTGCCAAGAAGTAATTGTCTTCTAATTTCATGGCTACAGTCACCATTCACAGTGATTTTAGAGCCCAAGAAGAAGAAATCTGTCACTGCTTATACCTTTTCCCCTTCCATTTGTATTACACACACACATACCTCACTTCCTGTAACCAACACAATGAAAAGGGAGTGGTTTTACAACGAAATGTAAACAAATGAACCACTAAGGGAAACTTTTAGCATAATAACTGAAGTAGCTTTTTTATTTGGAAACATATCCAGATAATTCATTGGCAAACAAAACAAATGCTTAATCCCTTTCTTCTCTAGCTACCTCCAAAGGACCAATATCTCTAAATTTAACATGAACTTCTCCAACCGAAATTGCTAGGCTTCATTTTCCTTTATTTCTTTTACTTCTCACACACTTCTAAGCAAGTTGACTATTAATTTTTTAAAAGACCAGTAGAAGATATTGGTAAAAACATAAATAAGCTTACTATTTCCCGCAGTCATTAAAACTGGTTTAGAAACTGTCTACAAATTAGCAGGGAAGTCACAGAAAACTTTAGAAAAGGTTCCGGTATACTGTTCATAGCTAAAAAATAGGTTCACTGCCAAGTCTATCCTTCAGTTATATCTATTCTCTATAAAACTTCGTAGAGTGCTTGAAATGATGGAAATCATTGTTCAACATATTGTGGTGAAACAAATTTTGAAGGTAAATATGTGCCTTTCAAACGGAT